TCAATTGACTGCCCTTCTCTTCTAGAAAAGATTGCATTTAATATTCCCTCTAGAATCCTCCGCCATTGGGATTTCTTTAAAATAGGTTTCTCTAGAAGCAGTTATGGTGCCAACGCTCCGATCTCTAGAACGTGTGCTGAACTTAACCTAGTCTTCAATGCTTTGGACATTGATTTCTCACAATCAGGCCCTGCCTTGGTTACTCATCTGCGAACATTTTTCTCTGCGCTATACCACTAGCGATGTATTTAATCTTAGCTCTTGTGAACTTAATGTATTTAAAATTTATCTTAATTTTTAAGTTTTAGTAGCACTTAATTAGTGTTAGCTGAGTAGTCTGTAAGAATATTCTGTATTCCAAGACTGAAATAAATAAATAAAAAAATAAATAAATAAATAAATTGGATACCGAGTTACACATTTGTGATCATAACTGGGCGGCGCCCAGTTATAACCCAATTTTCTCGTAACTGGTTATCGCAATCATCGATTTTAAGGGAATTACTTTAGTAGTTATTGATTTATCGCGGTTTTCGTGTTTCTGTAAATTACCATTATATGGTAGATACGCGTAGTCATTGCCCGATTTCAAAGATTTTCAACAGATTAAGTTAAGAAACTAGATCATAAGCACGGCTCGTACCGAATTTGGTAAGGATTGGTGAATGGGATACTGAGATACATAATTTCATTTAAGTTTTATAATAATATTTTTAACAAAAATTGTACTTCACATACTAATTTTCTACAATTTCCATCCAATATTTATTGAAATATCGTAGTTCTTGCATTTTTGGAAAATACCTTTATATGCGAAGTGGGCGTAGTTACAGTACGTGTTTATATTTTTTTCTTGATTTTTTTTTTGTTTGACTTAGCACATTTGCATACCACTGCATGACAACAAGTAAGAACGACATTACAGTAACTTTTTTTTGTAATGATGTATCTTGAGTTCCTCTATCTTACTGCATTAAAATCTAAATTTTCATAAAAAGTGGACTTAACATGTTTGCACGCTAAGCCAGCGATATAATTCTTATTAAATCGAAGAAATTACGCGTATAAACTGTTAGTATGAAAATAATATTTGTTTTTTACCTAAAGTAACAAACCGCTTCAACACTAAATAAAGTTCAAAGAGGGTTGTTCCCATGTTTAAGGATTTCGTGTCCAACAGATTTGAATACTCCAACGTATCTTCAGGTATATGAAGTGTTTTGATATGAGAGCACACGTCTTCAACGTTGTTTTTACAAATTTCAAAGATATTTGAATCGTAATACTTGAATACAATAGCAGAATAGTTAAATCTAATTTTGCTGGAAAAAGGAAATATTAATTGGGTATGATTTCAAAAACGCTTGTATACTTACTGATAAAAGTGCTTATCAAAATACTCCATCGCTCTTTGTAAATCAGACCGCACCATCTGTACCAGTTTTATTAAAAACTCAAGCTTTGCTTCGTCTGTTGGTTCATCATTACAATTTGATTTACTCCCTTCTAGAATGTATTCTAACCATTCCTTGACACCGGTGTTTATAACTTCTATCAGCACTTCATCAATATTATTAGTATTTAGGCACATTGGTGAAATAAAACCATATATATTTTGGGGAAAAATTTCACCCACAGGGTGCCCTAAAGTTTTGATTTTGGAAATAATATCTAAGACTTCACATAATGTGCTTACTATGTGTTTATCGCTAACATTCTTTGCACGAATTTTTCGGACGATTGAAAAGCATGATGGCAAAATCCTTTTAACTCCATTCCAAAATGATTTTGTATCTTCAGAATCAGTTTGAAGAACTTTTAGGATTGGAATAATAACATCGAGTAGGCTATTAAAAACATTGAAGCTGAGTTTTTGATTTTCATGGATTTTCGAATACACAATCCATTGGCTAAGGGCACAATCGAAGTTCGTAAGGCCACTTTGAACAGCATGCTGAGATCGAATTAGCTCTGCATTGGTACTGAAATTTCCATTCCACCAGTATTCAGATACTTGAGAAGTATCCAATTCGTGCATCAGTAATAGATTCAGCAGGTGTCTGTGCTCTTGGATAGCAACGCGTTTGTTTTTCTCAGCACTTAAGGTCAGACTAACTAGCACCGAACCCCGACTTTTTATTTTAGAGCTCTTCTCTAAATTGTGCCAAGCAGTTATGCCTGAAGTTGGGACTGACTAGAATGAAGAATAAGTAAATAGTAAGATTCTTTTAGATTGCTTTATTATACATTACTTTTAAAGTTATTGCTACACGTCCAATTAATTCATTGTCGTGCTTTCCCGTAGAGGCAGCTTGTGCGATCTCTTTCATAAGCTTACTGAGTCCCTTAACACCTTTGACATCAAATAGTTTATTTACTTTTTCCTTAACTGTTTCAGCAGCATCGAAATCCCTAGGGCACATTTGTAAATATAAATATTATTACTTGCAATCTTCATTGATAGCACGACAACTATTACCATATCTCTACTATAAGCACCTCCTCTTTTGGATTATCCGCGATAGGCCTGTGAATCAAGATGTATATGTATACATATTAGAGTGGTTAAAAAAAAACACGCTTTTTGGAAATTCATAAACGCTACATCAAAACATTGTTATATGTGATAAAAAAAAAAGACACGAATTTTTTTATTTTGAAAAAAAGCTTTTTGGAGGTCGCGCTAGTAGGTTTGTTATGAAAACACAGATGTTTTCAATTTTATTATTTTCGTGACATGTTAAAGTACATCTAAAAATTTTGTTTCAACATGTAATTACTCATGCATTATTGGGAAATATTCCCTTAATTACATAACTGTCTTGGACAGTTAGAATGGGCTTAGTGCCCGAAAATATGCTTTCGAAAAGGTACTGCAAAAATCAAATCCTTGATACGGAACGTTATAAGCATTGCCATGGGCTAAACCACGTTACCAGGTGGTTTCTGGGGTCGCTGATTACGCATCTGATATCAGTGTTTCAAAATTCAAATTAGCGGATCCAATATGGCATCAACTTTAAACAAGTAAGAAAGCCTAAGTTCGGGCGGAGCCGAACATTGAATACCCGGCGCAAGTATTAAATATGTGGTTTTCACCTTTCCGAAAGTTACCGCTAAATGGTAAGCCGGGCTGTATCAATTTTGAGTAAATTAGCGTCCCCAAATTACGAAATATTGAAGTTTCAAGCATTTCTGAAATTTACCGTTATATGAAAAGCGGCCGTAGTTTTAGTCCGATTTCAATAATTTTCAAACGTTTTGCTTTTATGTGGCAAGTACAATAACCATACCGAGTTTGGTACAAATTGGTAGAACGGTTACGGAGATACATATATGTGATCATAAGTGGGCGGTGCCACGCCCATTTTCTTAAATTTTATCATAAGAGTATTTCTTGGTAAAGAATTGTTGGAAGCATCAATCTTGAATAAATCAGCTTTAATATTTACGAGTTTATCGAAGATTTTGTATTTCTCTAAATTACCGTTATATGGGATGTGGGCGTGGTTACTGTCCGATTTTAAAAATTTTCGGCCATTTGGTATGCTGTACCAAGGTCAAAAACTGTGCTAAGTTTGGAAGAAATTGGTGCAGCGGTTACCAAGGTATACACAAGAACCATAAGTGGGCGTGACACCGCCCATTTTCCGAAAAGTTAAAATATTATTATTTTTCGTCTAACATTTATTGTAAATATCAATTTTGAGTGAATAATCTTCAGTAGTTACAAAAATATCGCAGTTTTTGTATTTGTGAAAATTACCGTTATATGGGAAGCGATTTCGCCCATTTTCAATACCAACCTACCTAGGATAAATGGAAACCTACATACGAAATTTCGTTGAGATATCTCAATTTTTGCTCGAGTTATCGTGTACACGGACGGACGGTCAGACGGACAGACGGACGGATAGACAGACATGGCTTAATCGACTTCTCTATTCATTCTGAGCATTTATGTATATATTTGTCTATATCAATCTCGATTCGTTTTGGCTGTTACAAACCCGTTATGTGAACAAAGTTAATATACCCTTGTGCACAAGTGCGCTCGGGTATAAAAAAGATTGGAGTTGTTTGAAACTCGGATCCGCCATTTTGAATTTTGAAAATCTGGCATCAGATTCGTAATCAGAAACCCCTGAAACCCACCTATGACAATCCTTAAAACGTTCAGTATGAACGTTTTAGTTTAAGTAATTTTTTAAGAATTTGATAAACATATTGGATCAGCCATTTTGAATTTAAAAAAATGATTTCAGATTTGTAATCAGCGACCCCAAAAACTAACGAGCGCCGAAATTCGAACAAATCCAATAATTTTTAACAAAATTTTCGCCATTTTGGATCCGCCATTTTGAATTTTTAAAAACTGACTTCAGATTCCTAATAAGCAACCCCAGAAACCCCCTGGTAACAAGTTTCCACCGTGACAAAGCGATAATCGTCCAGTATCAACCTTTGATCTTTTCGAAAGCATATTTTTGGGCACTAGGCCCATTCTAACCGTCCAAGACAGGTATGTAATTAAGGGAATGTTCCCCAATAATACCAAAGTAATTACATGTAAAAACCACATTTTTAGCATCAGCAGTTTTACAAAAAACCGACCAGCGGGACCTATAGCAAATCTTTTTTTTATTAAAAACCACGTGTCTCCTTTTTTATCACAAATAACAATAATTTAAGGTAGCGAATTAAAAATAATTAACCACTCTAATACATATATTAATGTTCCAATTAAGGCGTTACAAGTACTCACAAGGAAAAATGTTCTTCCCAAATGGGGTTCAGAGTAGAATGCTTTACGGATGAATTATACCGGTGTGTTGCATTAGATTCCAAATAAAGGGTGACAAAGGGATCAGAGAAACCATTCGCATCTTTTGGCAGTAAATTTTCGGCTTTTATGACTTCCACGTTAAGGCGCAAATTGGGAGGCTCCTTTAGCTTTGCCAATTTTAAAATATCATCGTGTTTTTCATCAGAAATCTTAAAAACTTCTTGAATAAATTCCAAAAGGTCTTCTGCACATACACTATTAGCCTCGCATCCAAACTGGTTACATATCTCAAATAAAATTTCTTCGTACAGATCTTCGACCTAATAGAAAAATATACATAGTATACATATGTAAATGAGAGTATTGTATTAAGTATTCAAATGCAGATATAAACTATGTACTTATTTTAATAGTGTAAAGAACATTTCTAAGCAATACAAACGTGACTATCGTACGCACCAAGGCACATTGAACAGGTAGTATCAGTAGAGCAGCTGATTTGATTTTTTATTTTTATTTTTATGCGCCCATTTAGGCTCTGAGATTTTTTAATGTAAATTTTATTAGAAATGTAAAAATATAGCTATTAAAAATTTATAATATTTTACATCATTAATTTTTCTCTTTTTAACCAACTTCAAAAAAAGGAGGAGGTTATGAATTTAACGGAATATTTTTTTTATGTAAGTTACCGCATAACTTTGGACCACATTAACCGATTTCGATAATTCTTTTTCTGGTGTCTCAGGGGAGGTTCCGTACTAATTTGGTTTAGATGAGAATTGAAGTCGGTTTTATTTTTTGCTTAAAAATTACTTGTTATTTTATTTATTTATGTTTAAATCTACAGTACAATGTACCTTACAGACTAGAAAATATATTATATAGTAATAATTGATAATACCAAATAAAATACAAGCCAGGCGATTAAATTAAGGACTTTAATAAAAGCCGATTTAGGCAAAGAAAAGTCTAGATGATGTGTGTTAGATAATGCATTGAATTCCCGAAGTGCTCGAGAAATCGGAGCGTTACTTGCATATTTAGTTTTGACGCTTTCTCCGTAAAAAGGGTAAACATTTCGGAGACTTCTTTGTGGAACATTAAAGCTTATCCGCTCAAGCAAAATTGGGCAGTCAATGATGCCACTAATTATATTATAAGTGAACGATAATGAAAGAACTGTTCTTCTCTTTTCTAAAGTACTTAAATTGATCAGCATTAGCCGCGAACCATAGGAAGAAACAGGAGCCTCAAACCTCAGCGAACGCAGTGCGAATCNGAACGCAGTGCGAATTTCAGAAATACTTTTTGAACGCGTTCAATTCTACCTATCGATAGTTGGTCATATGGTCTCCAAACTATTACCGCATATTCCAAGTGTGAACGAACAAGAGCCGTAAAAAGCAATTTAAAGGTATATGGGTCTGAAAACTCGGAAGTGTTACGCCGAATAAAGCCAAGAGCAGAGTACGATTTCGAAAGGATAAAATTAATATGAGTATTGAAGGATAACTTAGAGTCAAACATGACTCCAAGGTCCTTAGTCTCTGTTACTTTTTGAAGCGCACAGTTAGCAATAGTGTACTGTGTTGAAATAACATTTTGACGCCTAGAAAATGTTAAGTGAAAACATTTTGTTATATTCAAAGAAAGACCCGACTTCAAACACCATAAATGCAGTTTATCCAAGTCCCTTTGAAGATTTATAACATCGGATGAGTCCTTGACAAATGTAAAAACTTTCAGATCATCGGCGTAAAGCAAATAATTCGAAAAAGAAAAACAGTCGTTGATATCATTGATAAAAAGGACGAATAAAAGAGGTCCTAAAATGCTCCCCTGAGGCACACCTGAAGTAGCCACAAATGGGTTCGACGATACACCATCAATAGTTACCACAGAACATCTCTGCGTTAAATACGATTTAATCCATTCTAAAAACGATGAGTGAAAACCTAAGCAAACCAGCTTATTTATTAAGATCCTGTGAGATACCCTGTCAAATGCCGTTGAAAAATCGGTATAAACACAATCGACTTGGAATCCTGCCGAGTATGAAGAAGTACAAAATTCGCTAAAAACTGTAAGATTAGATACTGTCGAGCGGCCTGACACAAACCCATGCTGATTCGGACAGATTAGAGATTTAACTGCAAAATAGAGCTTGTCCTTAACGACACATTCAAACAGTTTTGAGATGTTCGATAGTTTCGAGATCGGCCGATAGTTCCGAACGTCATTTTTTCTTCCACTTTTAAAAAAAGGTGTGATAGTAGATAATTTCCATTCATCTATGAAAATACCTGACGATAGCGATTTATTAAAGATTATCGCAAGAGGAATCGCTAAGGCCGGACAGTTTTTAAATAAGATAGCCGACATCCCGTCTGCGTCTGTTTGCGAAGAAGGTTTAAGAGAAAGCATCCCCTTTATAATGTCGTCCGATGAAATAAAAAGAGCCCCAAAGTTGAGAATAGAAGATATTTCAGAAGAGAAGTTAGGGAATTGCCCGTCATCAGCAACGTAATTTGACATAAAAAAGTCAGAAAACAAATTAGCTGCTTCAACAGGAGTACTAGCAAATTTATCGTCTAGCATTACCTAAGTAGGTATACTTGCGCATGATTTTTTGGTTTTGACAAAGTTCCAAAATGCCCCCGAATTAGCTTTAATGTTCCTNATGTTCCGTTCGGTGCTACGAATATAGTTTTTGTAGAGGAGATTATTTAATGATTTAAATTCCTTATGATAACGCTGGTATTTTACAAAGAAATAATGATTTTTTGATGATTTAAATTTTTTTAGATAACTATTTTTGAGATTTTTTAGTTTCTTCAGGTCTTTGTTGCACCAGGGTGATTTATAACAGCGCTTCTTTTTTAAGGGTATATTGTGTAAGCAAAAATCGCGCATTATTGACTTAAAAGTGGAAAAGCAGCCGTGAGTGTCCAGGCGGAAAAATAACTCATCCCATTTATAATCTAAAAGAGATNTGTGAGATACCCTGTCAAATGCCTTTGAAAAATCGGTATAAACACAATCGACTTGGAATCCTGCCGAGAATGAAGAAGTACAAAATTCGCTAAAAACTGTAAGATTAGATACTGTCGAGCGGCCTGACACAAACCCATGCTGATTCGGACAGATTAGAGATTTAACTGCAAAATAGAGCTTGTCCTTAACGACACATTCAAACAGTTTTGAGATGTTCGATAGTTTCGAGATCGGCCGATAGTTCCGAACGTCATTTTTTCTTCCACTTTTAAAAAAAGGTGTGATAGTAGATAATTTCCATTCATCTATGAAAATACCTGACGATAGCGATTTATTAAAGATTATCGCAAGAGGAATCGCTAAGGCCGGACAGTTTTTAAATAAGATAGCCGACATCCCGTCTGCGTCCGTTTGCGAAGAAGGTTTAAGAGAAAGCATCCCCTTTATAATGTCATCCGATGAAATAAAAAGAGCCCCAAAGTTGAGAATAGAAGATATTTCAGAAGAGAAGTTAGGGAATTGCCCGTCATCAGCAACGTAATTTGACATAAAAAAGTCAGCAAACAAATTAGCTGCTTCAACAGGAGTACTAGCAAATTTATCGTCGAGCATTACCGAAGTAGGTATACTTGCACATGATTTTTTGGATTTGACAAAGTTCCAAAATGATTTCGGATTAGCTTTAATGTTCCGTTCGGTGCTACGAATATAGTTTTTGTAGAGGAGATTATTTAATGATTTAAATTCCTTATGATAACGCTGGTATTTTACAAAGAAATAATGATTTTTTGATGATTTAAATTTTTTTAGATAACTATTTTTGAGATTTTTTAGTTTCTTCAGGTCTTTGTTGCACCAGGGTGATTTATAACAGCGCTTCTTTTTTAAAGGTATATTGTGTAAGCAAAAATCGTGCATTATTGACTTAAAAGTGGAAAAGCAGCCGTGAGTGTCCAGGCCGAAAAATAACTCATCCCATTTATAATCTAAAAGAGATGTATTTAACCTTGAAAAATCACAACATGCATAATTAAAAGCAATTCTATCAATAGGCGATGTTGGTGCGAACTCATAAAATTTTAGCTTAATTTCTAAAGGGATATGATGAATACCAGCATCGGAAATTCGAGAAATGCACTTTGATATAAAAAAGTNCTTTTAAAAAAAGGTGTGATAGTAGATAACTTCCACTCATCTATGAAAATACCTGACGATAGCGATTTATTAAAGATTATCGCAAGAGGAATCGCTAAGGCCGGATAGTTTTTAAATAAGATAGCCGACACCCTGTCTGCGTCTGTTTGCGAAGAAGGTTTAAGAGAAAGCATCCCCTTTATAATGTCGTCCGATGAAATAAAAAGAGCCCCAAAGTTGAGAATAGAAGATATTTCAGAAGAGAAGTTAGGGAATTGCCCGTCATCAGCAACGTAATTTGACATAAAAAAGTCAGCAAACAAATTAGCTGCTTCAACAGGAGTACTAGCAAATTTATCGTCGAGCATTACCGAAGTAGGTATACTTGCACATGATTTTTTGGATTTGACAAAGTTCCAAAATGATTTCGGATTAGCTTTAATGTTCCGTTCGGTGCTACGAATATAGTTTTTGTAGAGGAGATTATTTAATGATTTAAATTCCTTATGATAACGCTGGTATTTTACAAAGAAATAATGATTTTTTGATGATTTAAATTTTTTTAGATAACTATTTTTGAGATTTTTTAGTTTCTTCAGGTCTTTGTTGCACCAGGGTGATTTATAACAGCGCTTCTTTTTTAAAGGTATATTGTGTAAGCAAAAATCGTGCATTATTGACTTAAAAGTGGAAAAGCAGCCGTGAGTGTCCAGGCCGAAAAATAACTCATCCCATTTATAATCTAAAAGAGATGTATTTAACCTTGAAAAATCACAGGATGCATAATTAAAAGCAGTTCTATCAATAGGCGATGTTGTTGCGAACTCATAAAACTTTAGCTTAATATCTAAAGGGATATGATGAATACCAGCATCGGAAATTGGAGAAATGCACTTTGATATTAAAAAGTTAATATTATCTGTTACGAATATCAGGTCTAACAATCTATTTAAATTGTTGGGAAAACAGTTAATTTGCTTTATGTTTAGGCTTAGCAAGCTATCTACAAAATAAGTTTCGTAATTGGTAACTATATTATTAGGCAGTAGATCTGAATTATTGGAATTACTACACCATCTAACGTTACAAAGGTCAAAATCACCCAGCACACAAAGATGATCGTCATTTAAATTATCTACCACTAGACTAGCTATGTTATCCACTTGTGTAATTTTGATCTATATAAGNA